AAGCCACAGGGATAATCTTAACACGTTTATGCTGCAGCCCACGGTTCAGAAAACTGTGTTATTTATTAGTCAGAGTGGACATACCTGGCAGGAATTATTTGTTTGTGATAGTGGGAAGCAGCATTTGACTTTATGACGGCAGTGGCAGTTCTGGGGTTGGACATCACTGCCTGGAGCAGCCCTGGGGATGGACATCACTGCCTGGAGCATTCCCAGAGAAGGGCTCTGTGGCTCCACACAAGCAGTGAGGCCCAGAAAGGCCTTTGGGAAGTTTTTACAGAGCACAGACATAAAAAATTGTACCAAGCAGCACCACAAATCCCACCCTGCTCTGGAGGACTCCCACCTCACAATCCAGCAGCAGTGAACTGAGAATTCACCCACTGCCCACCCTAAATCCTTCCAGGACTCATCACCCTGTTCTGGCTCATGCTCCTCATTCCTGAGGAGTTCTCTCCCCAGGAATAGCTTCTCTCTGCTTGTTTGGGTTATTTTGTAAGGCTTAGAGGAAAGCTCTGACAGCTGGAATGAGGAACATGAGTGTAGAAGCCAACATAAATTATCCAGCAGCACACTGACCAACCAGGAAGGAAATATTGGGGTTTGGGGTTTTTTTTGGCACTGCCCTGGTCCCTAGGGGGGCTGCTGCTGCAGGGTGTCACTGCAAGGGGGATCACAAGAGTCCAAAATAAAACAAAATAAAAAAGGAATCAGGATGTTTGTGGTCAAAGCCCTCCAGGGACTGGTGCTGCAGCCCTGGAGCAACTGGGAGCTCTGGGAAGGAGAGGGGAGCTGTGCTGGACTCCTCACGAAGCCGTTTCATGGCACCAAGTCTTTGGGATGTTAAGATGGGAAAGCAAAGGTGGGTGTGACCTGAAGCACTCGGTGCTCAGTGTGAGGCTGGGCACTGGGGGAGAGGATCCCACACACCTGGGGCCTCCATCCTGCCCTGGGGTGCTGGGAGGGGGGCTGGAGACCCCCAAGCTCCCTCTGCACCCCCAGCCCCTGCCCTGCTGGGATGGCCCAGGGCAGAGGAGGCACATCAAGAGGGTGAGAAGTGAATGTGGGAAGGAGTCTGGGAACCCCAACTCCCTGGGTTTGCTGATGGGGGACACAGGCAGCCCTGGGAACCCTGACAGGGCCTCTGTGCTCAGTTCCTGTGGAGCTCCTAAATTTATCCACCCTTAAATATCCCAGGGCATTATCCACTCTCCCATGAGCCCCTTTCCAGCATGGGGACTTAGTGCTGCACATGGATCCAAATCCCATCCAGCCCAAGGGCGCTGGGACCATCCCAAGTTGTCACATCTGGACTGGGGCTTGGAGGGTCACGTTCTCACACTGCTGTGGACACGCAAACCACGGGCTGGTCAGGCCTTTGGGGCTCAGAATAAAGCAGGAATGAGAAATAAATCAGACCAGAATGTGTCACTAATGTCTTTCCATATCCATCATCCCAGGCTGGGGCACGGGGGGAGCAGCGTGAAGGAATGGTTCAGGAGCCTCCTGTCCCCTCCTGTCCCAACCTGTCCATCCTGTCCCAACCTGTCCCAACCTGTCCCAACCTGTCCATCCTGTCCCAACCTGTCCCTCCTGTCCCCTCCTGTCCCCTCCTGTCCATCCTGTCCCCTCCTGTCCCCTCCTGTCCCAACCTGTCCCAACCTGTCCCAACCTGTCCCAACCTGTCCCCTCCTGTCCATCCTGTCCCCTCCTGTCCATCCTGTCCCCTCCTGTCCATCCTGTCCCCTCCTGTCCATCCTGTCCCAACCTGTCCCTCCTGTCCATCCTGTCCCCATTGTCCCCTCCCCTGCCGTGCTCTGTACCTCTGGCCAGGCTGAGGTGTCCCCCGGGCAGCCTCTCCTGCAGCCTGAACAGCGCCAGCTCCTGCAGACTGGCCCTCTCCAGCTCGGACAGGCTCTGCAGGGCCACGGGCTCCATCCCAGGGCTGGAGCAGAGGCAAAGGCGCTCTGGAGAACACACCTGTGTGAAGGGAACGCACGGCAGCGAGACCTGCTTCAGGAGAGGAACTGCAGGGAGCCACTGCAGGGGACATTTGTCCCTCTGTCACCTCTCCAGAGAGCCAGGGGGCTGCAGATGCCCCAGCCACCTCATCTCCCTCCAACCTCCTGAGCAAAGGCCTTGGAGGCACCAGGAGAAGAGATTTGGATTTGATATTGGGCAGGAATTGTTCCTGGGAGGGTGGGCAGGCCCTGGCACAGGAGCCCAGAGCAGCTGGGTTTGCTCTGCCCTGGAGGTCCATGGCCAGGTTGGACAGGACTTGGAGCAGCCTGGGCTGGTAGGAAATGTCCCTGCATGGAAGGAGATGAGCTTTAAGCTCCCTCCCAAGCCAAGCAATTCCACAATTCTGTGATTTATCCCCTTTAACTGATAAAGAGCTGCACACGGCCAGGGCTGCCGAAGCCCCTCACCGCAGGCTCAGGCTGGAGCACAGCCCATGGACACACCCTGGCCACCCCAGCTCCTCTCCCAGAGCTCTGGGGAGCCCCCACAGGGACCTGGGTCCCCACCCCACACTGACCTGGCTGCCTCCAGCCCGGTGCCACCTCCTGGTGCCACCTGTGCCCGGCACGGTCCAAAGAGCAGCCCCAGGGAGAGGACAGGGCTGGGGTCAGAGTACGGGCTCTGGAAAGAACCTCCCCGAAGAGGCTTAAGGCAAGAAGGAAAAAGAAATGCCTGGAAGTCTCAAGGGATGAGGGTGAGACCCCCAGGAATGGGACAGGGCTCCTGTGTCAGTCTCTGCCTCCCCCCTCCAGCCCCTGAGACTGCTTCCTCTGGCCAGGTTTGAAATTTCAGTTTCTAAAGGTGTTTAGAAAGTTACATAAATTAAAAAAAAACCCCAAATATAAAAGAGTTGCTCAGAGTTCCCTGTAAAGGCACACTGAAAAGGGAATTCAGCCACATCACAGAATCCCCCACAGGTTTGGGTTGGAAGAGACCTCATAAACCATCTCATTCCCCTGTCATGGGCAGGGACACCTCCCACTGTCCCAGGCTGCTCCCAGCCCCATCCAGCCTGGCCTTGGGCACTGCCAGGGATCCAGGGGCAGCCACAGCTGCTCTGGGCACCCTGTGCCAGGGCCTCACCCCCTCCCAGCCAGGAATTCCTTCCCAATATCCCATCTGTCCCTGCCCTCTGGTAAATCAAAGAGGAACTTTGCAGGGATTTTCATAACTTCCATCCTGCTCCCCCAGGACAGCCCGGGGCAGGAAACTCCTTGGTTGTCACAGGTGAGAGAGAACATCTCCACAAGGCAGGGACAGCTCCCAGACTCTGCTGGGGAGGGAGGGATGGAGGGATGTGGGATGGATGGATGATGGATGGATGATGGATGATGGACGGATGGATGGATGGATGGATGATGGATGGATGGATGGATGATGGATGATGGATGGATGGATAGATGGATGGATGATGGATGGATGATGGATGATGGACGGATGGATGGATGGATGGATGATGGATGGATGGATGGATGATGGATGATGGATGGATGGATAGATGGATGGATGATGGATGGATGATGGATGATGGACGGATGGATGGATGGATGGATGATGGATGGATGGATGGATGATGGATGATGGATGGATGGATAGATGGATGGATGATGGATGGATGATGGATGATGGACGGATGGATGGATGGATGGATGATGGATGGATGGATGGATGATGGATGATGGATGGATGGATAGATGGATGGATGATGGATGGATGATGGATGATGGACGGATGGATGGATGGATGGATGATGGATGGATGGATGGATGATGGATGATGGATGGATGGATAGATGGATGGATGATGGATGGATGATGGATGATGGACGGATGGATGGATGGATGGATGATGGATGGATGGATGGATGATGGATGATGGATGGATGGATAGATGGATGGATGATGGATGGATGATGGATGATGGACGGATGGATGGATGGATGGATGATGGATGGATGGATGGATGATGGATGATGGATGGATGGATAGATGGATGGATGATGGATGGATGATGGATGATGGACGGATGGATGGATGGATGGATGATGGATGGATGGATGGATGATGGATGATGGATGGATGGATAGATGGATGGATGATGGATGGATGATGGATGATGGACGGATGGATGGATGGATGGATGATGGATGGATGGATGGATGATGGATGATGGATGGATGGATAGATGGATGGATGATGGATGGATGATGGATGATGGACGGATGGATGGATGGATGGATGATGGATGGATGGATGGATGATGGATGATGGATGGATGATGGATGGACGATGGATGCTCGATGGATGGATGATGGATGGATGGACACAGACACACTGCAGGGAATTACCTTGGTGCAGGTGAAGCTCCACACTCCAGCAGGGTCCTGGGGGATGAGGGGGAGGAGGAATCCCAGTCAGGAGAAGGAGCAGCAGAGGGAAGGCAGGAGAGGGAAGGAAGGAGAAGCCCAGACCAGCTGCTGTTTATCTGCCCAGCCGCAGGAGCCACTGGAGGAGCCCCGTGATGTCCCAGCACCACTGGTGCTGCCAAAGCCCATCCCACAGGAGCTCACCCCAAACACCTGCCCTGCTCCTCACCCCAGCTGTGGATTCACATCCCTGGAAACGGCTGAGATGGCACCAGCACCAACGAGCCACAGGAACAGCAGCAGCAGCAGTGTGGGTGTCCTGGCAGGGACAGGGATCAGCGATCCCAGCAGGGACAGGGACAGGGATCAGCGATCCCAGCAGGGACAGGGATGAGTGATCCCAGCAGGGACAGGGATCAGCGATCCCAGCAGGGACAGGGATGGGTGATCCCAGCAGGGACAGGGATCGGTGATCCCAGCAGGGACAGGGATGAGTGATCCCAGCAGGGACAGGGACAGGGATCAGTGATCCCAGCAGGGACAGGGATGAGTGATCCCAGCAGGGACAGGGATCAGCGATCCCAGCAGGGACAGGGATGGGTGATCCCAGCAGGATCCCACAGGGATGGGTGATCCCTGTGGATCCCATGGGACAGGAGAGCTCGCTCAGCCTGGACAGGCACCAGGCTCCCCACAAGGAAGGAAATGTGTGCCCACAGCAGGGACAAAGCCAGAGCCCCACAGAAATCCTCCTTTGGAGGGGATGCTGGAGCAGGAATCTCACTGAGTCAGAAACACCAGTGGGTTATTTCAGGAAATCTCCCAGGGAAAGCTCAGTCCAGCTGCCCCCTCCATTCCCAAGGAGCAGTGGCTGCTCCCTCGGTTTCAGCTGCAGTTTCTCTCCTCCCAGCTGGAGCAAAGGGCCCACATTTACCTTGCCCGTGTCCTCTGGCAGCAGCAGCTCCTGGAGCTCCCGGCTCTCCCTTTGGGATGACACAGCCGAGCCTCCTCAGCCCACAGGCAGGAGGAGAAGAGGGGAAGTGATGGGAAGGAGCTGCCACAGCCGAGGGGAGGAGAGAGGGGATGAGAATGTGAATTTTCTGCCAAAGAAACGAGAGCCAGGAACAGCGTGTGGAGAGAGGGCAGGGCTGGACGGAAGGGACCGCACTTCCCACGCTGGACACGGAGCCATTGCTCAATCCCCTCCAGCCTCAGCTCTCCCAGCTCCCATCCATGGGCAGCCAGGGCACCCTCAGCTGGGCAGGCAGCTGGAAGCTGGGCTGGGACGTGCTGCCTGGGCTGGCTGCTCCCACCCCAGCTCTCCGTGAGACCCTCCTGGTGCTCCTCCAAAGCCTGAGGGTTTGTCCCAGCCCTCCCCCGTGTCCAGCAGGGTCTGGCACAGCCAGGGCTCTGCAGCTGAGGAGCTCACAGACCTCACGGGGTGGATCTACAGCTCAGGTTGTTCCCAGAGGGTTACAGACCTTGGAGAGCCTCCCAAACCTCCACCAACACCCAAACTGGCACTTTCTTGCCAGTTAACACCCATGAGCACCCTGGGGGCCACAGCCAGGCTCCCGGCCCATGGTCATGGAGTGGTTTGGGCTGGAGTGACAAAGAAAGCAGCCGGGCCAAGATCTGCCCATAAAAAATGTTTATTCCTTAAAAATACAGCATTCATCTGCAGGGACACAACTATTGAGAACATGTTTTTAAAGGGTTTCTATCTGCTCCCAGTGCAGCAAGCGCTCAGTGTTGGGAGCAGGGAGAGCAACAGCCCACGAGGGGTCCCAAGGGAAGGTCTCTGTCACCCGTCCCTGGGTGCCACCTCAGCAGCCCATCTGCAGGATGGATTCTCCTGGGAGAAACCTCAGCCCCTCTGGGAAGGCCCTGGGAGAGGGGAGGCAGCAGGACCCCGGGGTGCTCGAGCCCTGACCCACTGTCACAGCACCAGCCACTGCTCCTGGTCCTGGCTCCTCTCCCTCCTGCTGCCCCATGGAACAACCTGCCCGCTCTCTGCAGCAGCCCCAGCCCCCTCAGCCCCCCGGGAGGGGGCTCTGGCTGCCCACGGAGCCCCGGCCCAGCTCGCAGCCCGCGGGCAGCAGGGGCTGGGAGCCAGCGAGTCCCGGAGCCCCGGCCCACCCAGCCCTCGCCTTCCCTGACTGCGGCTGCTCCAGCCACGGCTGCCCTCGGGGCTCTGCAACCGTCCTGATTCCTCCAGTTCCTGCCCTGGTTTCCCAGGAGGGCTCTCACTGAGTACACACCCCCTGCCCTCTGCCCTGGCTGACCCCAGGGACAGGTGGCATTGCCACGTCCCCACCTCTGAGATCGTGCCAGGCTCTGCCAGGGGCAGCAACAACGAGGAGGAGGAGGAGGATGGTTCATCTGGGATGGGGGAAGAAGGTGCAGGAAGAAATCCAAGAGATCTGGAGAGACCCCGGGGCCTTGGGATGAGTGGGGAAGGGAGGAGGAGCACAGGGAGTGTTCTCTCTCTGAATGGTGAGGGGAGAAGCAGAGCCAGCAGGTCAATTCCTGGCTCCAAGCCTGGTGTCACCAGTGGAATTTTGGGGTTTTGGATGAGGAATTGGTTCACACAACACCAGGTGTCTGTGCCAGGTACACAGAACCACCAGAAACGTCCCTGTACTCACCTGGGCACCACCTTGGCCACGGCACAGGGTGGAGAAGCACCTGGCAGGATGAGAGCGGGGCAGGGGACGCCTCAGGAAATGCAACTGGGGCTTCTCCCCCAGAGACGAGGAGGGATCTACAGCCCAAGTGAAGGGCACCAACACCTGGGGCATGGGGAACAAGCAGGAGGGGCTGGAGCTGTGCCAGAGCGCTGGGATCACACTGGGATGTGCAGGATGGTGTGGGGGATGATGCAGGAGCTCTGCAGGGCTGGCTGTGAGCAGGCTGGGCTGGGATGGGCTGCCCTGCACCTCCCCACAGCTGGCTGAGAGCCTGGCATGCACTGGGAACACAGGAACTGTGCTGGGAAGGTGCAGGAGCAGAGGAGTCTGTGCTGCTTGAACTTGGTCTCCAAAGCAAAGCAGGTGGAGCTGGGTGGTAAAAATCACCAAAAGCCAGGCTGATGTAGCTCTGCTCCACCCACATCCCCAGAAAATCAATGTAAAAGGTTCTGTACAGACTGACCCAGAGCACGAGTGGCACTGCCAGAATCCCCCTCTGCCCCCACCTCAGCTCAACTGCTAACAGAGAAAACAGCACAAAAAACAACCAATTCCTTGGCTCAGAGGCCCCTGAGCCATCTAAATCTTCTGTTTAAACATACCTTGGTTTTTACTCATAGAAATATCTAAAAAATGCCTTTGTTTCCCCCTTTTGGTGATCTAGAAAGCAGAAGATGCCCCTTTGTTGTTGGTTCAGGACAGTCTGTGGCTGTTCCTAGCAGAAGGAAGGCTGAGGAGGAGGAATTTGGGCACACAAGCACATACAACATTGGCAGAACACAGAGTCGACACGCTGTGCTTCAAAGGGTCAGGCAGGAGCTTTTCCCCAAATATATTGAACAGCACTTGCCCATTAACAAATAACTGATCAAAGGAGCTGCAGAGCTCGGAGGTTCTTCCAGTGGTGCTCTGGACTTGGTTTCACTTTTACACTTTGTACCCCGGGGCCGTGGTGTGAGGGAATGGCAGGAGCAGAGGGAGGAGCATCCCGGCTTTCCTCAGCATCCCTATCCCGCTGCTTCCAGCATCAAGTCAAAGCTCAAGTCATTTTCAACCCATCAAAGCCACAAAACTTCCACCTCTTCTCCAGGCTGGCCCCGACCCCGCTGAGCTCCTGCCGGAACGTGTTCTGCAGTCGTGTCATGAGCACTTCCACCTCCGCCGTGCAGATCTGTGCCAGCACAAAGGAAACACGACTCAGGGTGAGGATGGAAGCCCTGGAGGCTGCTGATAGCTCAAACTCAAACAGTTACGTGGCTGGAGTTCATCCAGGCTTTCCTGGGGCAGCAGGAGCTGTGTCCAACAGGGCCAAGAGCTGCGGAGGAACCCGAGGTGAGCCCAAGGTCCTGCCTAGCCACACTCAGGGCCACAGGCAGCTTCTGAAGGGCTCTTCCATGGCTCCAAAACACCTTGGATCTTAATTTTTCTGCTCTCTGCTGACCACCTTGGTGAGAATAATGGACAGGGAACAGGGGAAAGATATTCCCCTTCCCTTCCTGTCAGCAGCTTCAAGAAACCTGGCTGTATTCTAAGAACTCCCCCTCCTCCTGCCTCACCTCGGGCCCAAAGATCTGCTCAGGGTTAAAAATAACATCCCAAACTCATCTGAGCTCCTGCAGGAGTCAAGGAGGAGACAGAAGATCTCAGAAGGAACACAAAGGACAAGGGGAACAGCCCTGAGCAGGAGGAGACTGATACCATAGCACAGGTTCAAGGGTGGGCTCTCCCAAGGAGAACCTTCCAGGAGCCTTCTCTGCTCCGTGGATACCAAAGAGGAAGTTCCAGAAGGCAGCTGAGTGCTATGATGGCAGTTTTACAGGAGCTCCAAACCAAAATAAAGGCAGCTGGTGGCCCCACAGACAAATTCCAAGCTAGAATGAGATAAAAATTAACTCTTATAAAGAAAAGGCTGGAGTGAGCCAGGGCAGGGTGCCACGTTTTCTTAGGAAAGGGTAAATTAAACACTGAGTTATAAACACAAGCAGCTGGATTAGTTCCAATCCCAAGACAGGATTCCCATGCCTGTGGGGCCTCCTGTCCCTGGGGCTCTTTAAGGAAGAGAGCTGGAGACCAGGATAGAGCAGAATGAGATGGAATTCCTTCCTACATGCAGGAGCCTTTGCACAGTCGTTCCCATTTACTCCAGAAAGGAGCACAAGGCCGGTGGGGCACAGGAGAACTTGGGGATGTGGTTAGTGGTGGACCCCAAAGCTGGGCTTTGGCAACCTGGGACAGTGGCAGGTGATCCTGCCCATGGCAGGGCACAGAACTGGATGGGCTTTGAGGTCCCTCCCAGCACAAACCATCCTGTCATCCAAAAATCCACCCCATCCCTGGTCCTCCTGCAGCAGATTTCTGCAGGGAGCAGAGCCCAGGTCTCCCTGTGCAGCCCCAGCTGTCCTGCTCCCACACCCACCTTGCTGTCCAGGCGCTGCAGGTAGGAGCAGATGTACTCAATGCTGGCCCCAAAGGGATGCACGTGGAGGAAGGTTGAAATTATCCCTGGGGAAAGGAACAGCACAAAGGTCACTGCCACCAGACAAAAACCAGCTGGGAACCCCAGCCCCGTGCCCCTGCAGACAGCCAGGTGTCACGAGGTCACGCCCTGAGCCCAGCAAAGCTCCAGGTTTCCCTCAGCCCCGGGATTCCCACCTCCCCTGGGCTAACCACAGGAGCCAGAGCTGGGCAGGAGGAGGGCAAGGTCCCCTCGGAGCAGGGCCCCCAGCTCAGGTCACCAGCACCACCAGCAGAACCCACCAACTAAGAGAACTTCTCGTTCAGATTTCACAGGGCTGTTGCTCAAGGTCTTCTCCACCGGACATTCCTTCTCCTGGCTGCAGGCACAGACTCTGGACGTGCTGCTCTCCTGCAAAACAAGCGCCCAGGGCACGTTCCAGCCAGCCTGGCGCAGCTTGGGCAGGCTCCACAGGGCTGTTCTCCTGGTTCTCAGAGTCCCTGCAGCCCTCACTGCTGGATCTGCTGCTCATTTCCCAAAACGCTCCCAGCAAAGCACAGCGGTGTCCACGGTGCTGGCTGTGATCCACCAGGTGAGATGGAAAGGTCACCAAGGGCAGCAGATGCCACCCTGCAGCAGCTCTGCTCCCTGGCACCACTCCTGCCCCAGGAGGGCCTTGTTTTACACAACACACTGCAAACCACACCGTGGCCTTGCCGTGCCTCATTAGGCTGCAGAGGTTTATTTTTCAAATGCCCAAACTGACACAAATGGGGTTAATCAGGTGCCCATGGGGCTGCACAGGGCTTAGGATCAGACTGTCCCTGCCTTGAGTCCGTGGTACTGAATTAAAACAGGATTTGGCATAATTTATTGTTCCTGACAAACACATCAATGCAAAGATTGCTGCACTAGGAGCTGAACTTGCTTTTATTCCCTGGTTTTATGTGGAATTCCAGTGGCCTGAGAGCAGTGGAACAGCTTCCAGTGACCAGTGAGATGGGCTGGAGGGAGGCCAGTGACGAAGACAGAACTGAGTGGTCCCCTGGGTTTGCTCAGACTCTTACAGCAGTGCAGTTCTCAGCTCACAGGGCTCAGGCTGTGCCCCAGTGGCCTGAACTTCCACATTTGCTTCCAGAGGAGAAAGAGGAGCTCTGCCCTGTGGAAGCTGCACTGCAAACCCTCAGCCTGCCTTCTGGAGATGCCAGAATCATGGGGTGGGTTGGGCTGGAAGGGACACCTTCCACTCTCCCAGAGCAGCAGCTCTTGCACTTACATTCCCCTGGCAGTCAGCTGCATCTCCCTCCTTGTCCTCTTCATCTGCCATGCTCTGCTATATATGGGCAAGGAAAGGAAAGATTACTGATGAAAATCTGTTCTTTTTGTTTTGAAGCTCCTGCTCTGATGATTGCTGGAATACACAAAACCATTTTTAGCTAGTAGGAAGGAGTTTATTATCTTCCCTATCTCCTGGCACAAAAAAAATGGGACTAGAGATGGAAAGAGAGATAAACCCAGTATCTGGCTCTGTGGGCCAAGGGGGAAGTGCTGCCTCATGCTTCTTGTGTAATTGTGTCTGTGCTACACAGAAAAGGACCAGAAAAGTGTAGAGTCATGCCCTGACCCACAATCAAATCAGGATCAAGCCTGAGAAGCGGCACTATGGAATTCTGTTTGGAATTCTGCATGGATTTCTCTTTAGATTAAACCCAGCAAGAATAAAAATATTAAAACACTCACAAGAACTTCCAGTTCCAAAGTGTTTTATGGAGGGCAGATCAAAACGTGCTCCTAAACCACAGCTGTAAATATCAGTGTCTGATAACTGAGACCTTTTTTCTTATCTTTTAAAAGCTCAGGCTGCAGAAAACCATGTTCCAGCTGTGATACCACTGGGCACTGATCAGTGACAGCCCTGTTTTATTTATAAATAACTTGCATTTTATTTATAAATCACTTGCTGAGATTGTCTCACAGGTACACGAAGCAACTGCAGGTCCATTCCTGACAGGCAGCCTGCAGTTTCACAGGTAATTTTTCCTCACTTTCCAAGGACAACTGCTCCAAACCAGGGCTGGGCATTCCCACCAGGAGTGCAGAAGGACAGATATCCTTCACCACAAAACCCAGGGACTGCAGCAAGGCAGACCTGCACGGCACATACCTGCTCCTTCAGGTTTTCTAGCAACGTTTCTATTTTCAGTTTGTCTTCTTTCACTTTTTCCAACTCAGCCTCTCTCTTTTTGTACTCCTCTTGGACTTTCAAAAGATGCTGGAAGAGAAAGGATAAACTCCTAACCTGCCTTCCACCAACTATTGTTCCAAGACCATAAAATTTAGAAGGGCTTTTCCATGAAGACCAGACAGACCACATTTAAAGTATAAAACAAGAAGGATCCACAGTGTAGCTTAGAAATGCCTTCATGCATTAGCACAGAAAAGAGCACATTTGGGGAAACATGGGGCAGTAATTCCATCCTCAGTGGATGGGATTTGCCACTTCCTAACTCAGCTGGTTATGGGCAGACTTGGTACTTTGGAAGTCACAGTAAAGCTCACAAGGAATCCATTAGCTATGGATTGCTTCCATGGGATTTATCAGCTCACACATAATTCCTGGTATCAGTATTTGCTTTGGGTTTGTTTTAACAACACTGGACACAACAAAGTTTGCTCCCCCCTGCCAGTTTGGATCCTGCTAAAATCCAGAGTGTTTTTCCACGCGTTTCTGCCGCCCATCCCAGCCTCTTTCCCCTGCAGCACGGCCCCAGCTGTGGAAAATTCCAGGCCCACCTTCTGCATGCCCTGCAGAGCCTGCTGGAGGAGCTTCATCTGCTGCTCCTTGGTGGTGTCCTCGTCCCTGGAGGCCTTGCCCTGCTCCTGCTTGAGCAGCTCCACCTCGTTGCGGTAGGCGTCCAGCTGCCAGCGCAGGCTGTCGTTCTCCTCCTTCAGCGCCTCCACCTGTGTCACCAGCGCTGGGGACACACAGCAATCACACCCCTGACAGCAGGGAACCCTCTGCTCCCCACCCTGCACAGGGGCTCAGCACCCAAAGGAATTGCTCCCTTTTTGGGGTATCACAGGGCTGGAGCCCCTCTGGAGCCAGGCTGGGAGAGCTGGGAATGTTCCCCTGAAGAGGAGAAGTTCCAGGGAGAGCTCAGAGCCCCTTGCAGGACCTGAAGGGGCTCCAGGAGAGCTGGAGAGGGACTGGGGACAAGGGATGGAGGGACAGGACAAGGCTTCCCAGTGCCAGAAAGAAACCACTGTTATGAGCTTTAAAAAGGGATTTTACCTGACTCTTCTGTTTCTTTCATCTCTGATGGATCTTCTATTTCTTCATCAGACATTTCCATCTCCTCCTCCCTCCGAATGCCCATCAGCTCATCATTGTGGATGTTCCGGATCTCCTGGGGTGCAGGAAGCACAGGGGGTTTCAATACACATTTTGAGGAACAGGTTGGCTGGGTGAAAAGTTCCTGCAATCTAGGTCTGCAAAACACAACTCCAGGACATGATTTAAAAACTGGCACAGATTTTTAGATCAAGGACAATATCCAGCACCAGTCACTGTCAGTGCTGCTGGGATTACTGACTCTTCCATCTCCCTCCTGCTCTCGTGATGAGGCAGCTCAGCCTCGCTGTGCAAACCACGAGGAACTGGAGTCAGCCCTAATCCTCTGGAGCCAAAAGTCCCAACCTGAGCTGGGACAGAGCAAACCAAGCTACAGCTGCACCCCTGCATGTATAGGCACCTCCTCAAGGTCACCCCAAAAGGCTGAGAGACCCTTTAGCCAGCATCTGATATCTACAATGAGGCAAGAGACAATTTAAATTACACCTAAAAATGTACCATGTACTAGCAGCATTTTTATAAATAAAAAGTATCTGCCAAACTCTGTACCAAGAAGCTGCACCTTGTGGCTTCCACCTTCCTTCAAGAGCAGTCCCTAAGCTGGGGGAGAGCAGCAGACCCAGCCTGGCAGCTGAAGTGCTCCTGAAAGAGGCCTCACAGTGGTCTCACAGCCTCTTCCCACTGGGAGAACTTACCTTGGAATACAAGACAGCTCCAAGTGGAGAGAGAGCTCCCACCCCAGCCACAGCCAGAGATCAGAAGGCGGGGAAGAACAGCAGCACCGGGCTCAGAGTGAATCTGAATCAGATTGCACTTGGCATCTCAGGGGCAGAAGAAACCTTGGCTCTCTTTTAGCTGCTACAGAGGTTTGACTCAAGTCAAACTCTGGCAAGTCCCAGAGGTACATCCTCATGGGGAGATCCCAGCTGGAAACTTCCCAGCACACTGGGGGCATTTGGAGTGCTGCAGTGTGGTGGAGGATCAGCCACCTGCTCAGAACCAGCAGGGCCCTGCCTGGGCAGGATCCAGAGTCTTCCCAGGCTGCAGCTCTACAGGAAGGTGTCCTGGACACCCCAATCCATGGGGATCACAGGCCTGGACACCCCAATCCATGGGGATCACAGGCCTGGACACCCCAATCCACGGGGATCACAGGCCAGGATCACCTCCAGCCCACAGGGATCCCTGGCCTGTGGATGGATCAGCAGCCTCTCAGCTTTGCTGAGATTCACTCTGGATGTTAAATAATCTTGTCAAGGTGAAAGACAACTCCTGGCTTTGCTGGGATAGACTTGCTTTCCAAGTTTGTGGTGAGGAGCTCGATATCCCAGACAAATCCAGAACCACTGGAAGATTTACACTAGGGGTAAGGCATGACAGCCGAGGGGGATAAAACCTCACGAGACTCAACAGGGCGCAGGACAAACATCTCCCCACCCATCACTTCGCAGTGGACACCCTTTCTGTACCTCAGCTTCCCTATTTCTGACATTCTGCCTGACTCCCTCAGCTGATTTTATCAAATCTTACTGGACTGAGAACTATTCTTCCTCCTGCAGGAAGAGCAGTGGGAGCTACAAGCTTCCTTCCATCAGCTCCTTCCTGATCACCATCACATTTCACCACGTCACTTCATGGGATAAACACACAAACATGACAACATGCTCCCTTAAGCCTTCCAGGCTGTTCCCCTGCAATAATTTCCACCTCTCAAGGTGGAAATATCACATGAAAATGTGATGAAAGATTCTGATGAAACTCAGAGTTGTTGTTTTTTTCAACATCTCTCTAGAAATCCTTCTTGCTTTAATATTAAAACCAGCAGAAAAATCAACATTTCTTATCATTATTATGACTATTATTGTGCACAGCTTCCATCAGCAGACAGGTCTCGATGTATTGCTACTGGTGACACAAATACCAAGAGAAAATTCATTACCTGTACCACGAGAGCCTCCCGAGTGATCCCACCTCACACTGTGAAGGAAGGTGTTGTTATCCACGCGAGCATCGTGCAAACCCAACATCAACATCCTGACAAGCAAGAGACCGTGCTGGAGGATCTAACACAAGAAAAGATTACCAACCTCTGCTTGTTTGCACCACACGCTGATGTTCTTACGCTGAGCTTTCGTGAAATGGTCCCAAGCCTTTTGTTTGGAGGCAGAATGGTACACGGCCACTATCTGCTCGACTGGAGTGGCAAATCAGCAGCAAATCGGGCCCGAATAGCATCCAGAGAGGGCGAACAAGAGGAGTAAAGGAGTAAAAAAGTGCAATCAGGCAGGTGGTTTGGCTCCCCTTTTCTCATAACACTGCACTGTGCTGACACTACGCTCAGGGAAGGGGCTCAGTGTCTGGAAACAGCCTGGTGGCTTCACCAGACCAGTGCCAAACACTCAGAGCAATGACCAACGGGGCCACGGGCTCTGCTCTCAGCTGGGAAAAACGCAGGACACGAGGAAAAAAGGCAGCCCAGGTGCTGAAAAATATCCAAATGCGCTGTGTGAGCTGGCTGGGAGTGTGAGTTCAGAGGGCAGGACTCACCTCTGAAATGGGGTGATGGGCTATGACCAGGAGTGGGCCTTTGGACAGTGCCACAGCCTGTGTGAGCTACAGGAGCAGGAGCAAAGCAAAGGCACCAGCCACCAGCCTTTCTTGCTCCTGGCATTTATTCCTCCTGCTTCTCTAGAAAATCAGAGGATTTGGAATACACAAAGTACTTCTCCTTGGCTGAGAGCTTACCCACAGCACAAAGCACATCCACTTGATTTTTTCTATGCTTGTGATGCAGTACCCATAATTCTCAATAAATATACACACATCCCTGCTACTTTACTTAGAGTAACCTGAGAGTGGCTGAGAGATCAGCCCTGGTTTTAGAGAGTGGAGTTACACACTGGTCTCTATTTCTACTTACTCTGCAGTGCTCACTGTATGTCCCTCTGGACCGTGCGCCCGTAGTTTTTACCATTAACACAATTTGAAGAAAAAGAATAATCTCAAAAATCAAGTAACAGCTAAAATCATTATATACAAAACCAAAAGTTAAGAATGTTCAAAAGCTAGGCAAGGGGCTCAAGGAGAATTAGTACAATTGTGGAGAAGCTACTTGTAAAGAAGTAAAAATATTCCGATTTACTAATGCAAGGATGTATGAGAGGCAAGGAACTGTTGCAAATCACATCCTGGGATTAATACAGTCCATGCCTCTTCCTTGATTTCCTGCTTTTATAAAGTACTGGGATTTGAAAGACCCAGGGTCTGCACTAGGGCTGGAAGCACTCTGCTGCTCCTACCTTTGGCGAACAAATCCCGCACACTTCGCTGAGGCACCAGATTCCCAGGAACTTACCTTGTCCGTGCACAGGAGGGATGAAAGGATGACACAACAGTAACAGGTGATAATTAAGAATAAAGGAGCTCAGAATCCATTCTCTCCTCCCCCCAGATGTGGACTCTTCCTCCAGTAAGAAGCACCACAGGGGATTTTTGCCAGGTTAGTGCCACGCGACTCCACATCGGCCGCAGCTGCACAGAAGCGGTTGTTGCCACTTCTTCCCCACAGCCCTTTAAGTGGGGCCTCTCCAGACTCTGCAAATTAAGTCATCCCTACACCAGACAACCGACATCCAGCGTGGAGACACTACTCACACTGCACCAGGATCCCTGAGAGAGCCAGTTTGAACTTCTCTTTAGCCTCCTCCATCTCCTTCTCGTGAGCCGCCTTCTCGTTGACGAGCCTGCGGATGTGGCTGTTGGCTGACTGGATCATGGAGTAGAAGTTGTTGGCAGTTCTCCTGTTCACTTCCCCACGTTCTATCCAGGTCAGCAAGGTCTGGATGGCTTCCAAGAACTTGGTGTCATCTGCAGCAAGAAAGGACAACTTTACACTTCAGCTCTGGGGTGGCTTGGGCAGCTTTCAGGTCCTTTCCCTGGAGCTGAACTGCTCCTTCCGAGATCAGCGTCCTTCAGGTGACTCATCACAACTCCTGGGAGCTGGGAAGGACCTGAACACGTGGCTGAACAAAGGAAGGCAAGTCCAGCACCAAGCTGATGGAGCAAATCCCCTGCTGAGGTGCAGCAAGAGGAGGAACGAGCACTAGAACTTACTGGAAAACTTCCTGTCTACTGAGATGGACCCTTCTGTGAAAGGAAATGACCTCCAGCTCCAAAATCATCAGGTCATACATGAACCTCAGGCTTCCAACAAGGTCTCACATTAATCCTTCCAACCTTAACCAAAATTACCTGGAAGAAACTCGTAGTGAACAGCTTTGATTTGCACGAGTTTGCTGCACCCAACAGCTTTGCTCAGCCTTGGGAAAATCAGATTTCAGGGAGACCTCATCACTGTGTGTTACCGCTGAAGATGAACAGATCACGCGGACACAGGTCGAGGTGTGGTGAAAGAAAGAGCAGAGTTTATTTTTCCTCACAGGATTTGTAGGTTTCCTACCACGGCCAGGGATGGGATGGTCAGGGTAACACTTTCTCACTGCACTGGCCATGAGAGATGCCCATCACAAGACGTGGAACAGAAAGAATGTACACATATCTATGTTTACAGTTACTGTCCTGGGAAAGTCCTTAGAAAACCATGTCAGCAAGCTCAGAAGCTGAGTTTTCAGGGCGACAACTGTGTCCTGGGTGGGGCTGTGAAGATGCAAACTCCTCTTTTAGAAGGGAGTCACGCGGAAAGGGATGAGGGGGAGCAGGTGCTCCTGGGGACGACTTTTCACAAGGGCAGCACTGTGAAAGTGCTGGACTCCCCAACACCTCCAGGACTGGGCTGGGCAGAGCGTTGGGCCATCTGGTCTAGCCCGTGCTTTTGCCAGGAAAGGTCGGGCCAGGTGAGCCTTCAGGTCTTCTCCATCCCGAGATCCCACAGATACGCTTCGAGCGCGGGGTTTTTGGACAAAAAGCAGGAGGATGGCGACAGAGCTGCTGAAAACAAAGCTGTGCCTGCCCAGCCCCTCTCACCTTTGAGCTTCTCGGCCACCACGCTGCACTCGTGGTCGGAGTAGTGGACGACGGGCGGCGGGGAGGGCGGGCGGAAGCGCTCCTCGGCCAGGCGGCGCCAGTGGCGCTCCTCGCGCGCCAGCATGCGCTGCTTGCACTCCCACTCGTACAGGTCATCCCTCGCCTGGGCAAAGTCCACGTGCAGCCGCCCCGTGTCCTTCTTGTCCGTGCTGGAGCCCAGCCGGATGCGGTAGCCTGCGGGAGGGAGGGTCAGGGGCACTCACCTGGGGCTCCCGTGGCTAAAGGAGCCCAGAGGGTTCAGCCCCGATGGCTAACGGGGAAAAATCCTACTAAGGCAATGCCACCAGCCAAATAACACCCCACCAGCCAAATAAAACCCCACTAAAGCAATCCCACCAGCCAAATAAAACCCCACTAAAGCAATCCCACCAGCCAAATAAAACCTCACCAAGGCAATCCCACCAGCCAAATAAAACCCCACTAACCAAATAAAACCCCACCAAGACAATCCCACCAACCAAATATAACCTCACCAACCAAAAACCCCACTAAGGCAACCCCACCAGCCAAACAAAACCCCACTAACCAATCCCACCAACCAAATAAAACCCCACTAACCAACCCCACCAGCCAAACAAAACCCCACTAACCAACCCCACCAGCCAAATAAAACCTCACCAAGGCAATCCCACCAGCCAAACAAAACCCCACCAGCCAAATAAAACCCCACTAACCAACCCCACCAACCAAATAAAACCCCACTAAAGCAACCCCA